GAAATATTATAAAAATATTAAATTATTTAATTAAGTTATTTTATAATCAGATTTTCTTTTTATAATCGGGCGGTTCGGACAGTTTGAAAGTAAAACCACAAACTAAACCAATTATATCAGTTTTAAATTTTTATAATCCAAACCAATCCAATTTTATATCAATTTGGTTTGGTTTTTAATCAGATTGGATCAATTTAGGTCGGATCAATCGGATTGGATCGGATATGAACACCCCTACTTGGAAGGACTCGCATATGCTTCTTGTGATGGAAATGAAAAGTTCTCTGACGAAGCTCGATAGCCAAAGAAGGTTTCAATTTGGATTCCAGCCATGTTCAAGCAGCATATGCCAGTTTCCTTTGGGAAACAGAGGAAGATGAAGATGAATATAGCACACCATACAAGATTGAGTGCAATCCCCCAGAGTTTCGTGAGGAAGCAATGACAAATGCTTAATTCCAGCATGCTTTGTGGCTGCTTTATTGTGTACATACAATAGGCAAATCGAAATTTCAGCCACCTTTTACAGAATTGAAGTACATGACCCTAAAGCCAAGAGATAATTCATCTGAGGAAGGAATCACAAGGTGCAAAGGATTTAGGATGCAAGGAAAAAGGAATCAAGAGTTGCAGAGGATTTAGGGGTTGAAGAAGAAGGAATAAAGGGTTCGGAGAAGAAAGAATCCAAAGTTGCAGAGGCTTTAGGGGTCGAAGAAGAAGGAATTAAGGATTTCAAAGAAGAAAGAATCAAGAGTTGCAGAGGAGGATTTAGGGTTAAAGGGGAAAAGGAAAGAGAGAGTGAAGTGAGTCTTCATCGAGATAAAGAGAAAGACATGTGTGCCCCATTATTTTATTTTATTTAGAAGGCAGGGGGTAAAAATGAGATGTTGGATGAAATTGGTGCCATGTAATCGATTAGGTGAGGTGTTTTTTTATATTAGTTTGTGAAAATTAAAAGAGGTAATTGGGTGAGAATTAACGTGACAGGTATGCACTTTCGTCACAGAAGGACCATTTGAGTAAGGAAAAAATAATGTTTAAGGACGATTTGGGTGTTTTCTGAAGTTAAAGGACAAACTAAGCTCAGAAATGAAAGTTTAAGGACCAAATTGGGTATTAAACCTCCAGATTTTACCAGAAAAGACCTTAAATACTTTCATCAATCCATTACCGGATCCATGACCTCAACAAAACAGAATAAAAATAAGCCAAGAAAACATTCTCAATTCTCATTCACAATGACATCAATTCATACAGATCCATCTAAGCAAACCACAAAACACAGAGAAAAGATCAAAATCACTGGCGGAGTTTGGAGGGGAAGATCAGAGTCCCGATATGGGCTACCCTACCCATGGGATAGTCTCCAGATCCTTCTCCTCACTACCTCTTCATGATTCCTCTATTCCTCACTACCTCTCCATGATTCCTCTGCGCTCGAGTAGATCTTACTCGCACGACGCCCGCCGGGGAGGCATCCTTTTGGACATCAGATCCGCCATTCATGTCATCATTTTTCAGTGCCTCGGTTCTCCGGAATAAATTTTGGAGGTTCAGCGCGGCTGTAGGTCAAGAGAAGGTTTTGAGAGCCAACCCATGAGAGTTGCTCGCACACCATTCTCTTGACCAATCACATAACGATCAAGATTTAGAACTTCGGATGAATAGGTACATTCAGGGAATACCAAGACGAAAAATTGTTCTCTTGTAAAGCAATTAAAAATTAATCAACCAAATTAAGAAAAAAAAAAAAAATAATACCCAAGCAGTGAAAATAAAGATCGAAAGGGCAAACCGTGAAAAAGAACTTAAAAGTCGTGCACACCAGCGAGGCGTTTACATACAAAACCGGTTAAACCGGTCAACAAGACGCCTATTGCCCCAAGTGATTGGTGCCCAAAAGTCAACACAGTCTTGCCCTTTTTTTAGGTACTTTTTGAGAAAAATATTGTTGTGCTATTTGCAATTAAAAAAAATAAAGATTTTTTAATATTAAAATATTTAATTATAATTATTAAATATATAAATTGTAATATATTTTTTATATGCAATTCCCCCTATAAAACATAAATCTCCTAAAGAAAAACTCATTCTCTGGAGAGTAGTTGGGAAGACTTGGAAGCAATTTCCAGGACATTAAATATTTGTCCTGCTTTTTCTAAGCGTTTTCTAGGAAGGGGAAAACCACCATTTGTCCTACTTTTTTTCTAAGCATTTTCTTGGAAGGGCAAACCATTCTTTTGGGTGTTGCTACGAACGCTCGCAAGGATCATAAGAAGTTTCGGTGAGGAAACCATTATTCACTGTTAAAATTGCTTCTTCCCCATGTTTTAAACTCTGTCTTCCTCCATAACCCTGTTTCTTCTCTGCAAGCTTTAAGATCTTAATTTTCCAGGTACATATATACATACAT